AGATTCAGAGCCAAAGGGAGGGCTGCCATAGTCCACAGAGTTGCAGAAGTGCTATTCAATTCACTTAAGCCACCACGGTCATGAAGGCTCAGCTAGCTGAGGGGACTGTGGATTCTGTGGCATTGTTCCTGCAGATGCGCTGGCTTCATAATCGCCATCCACCACCTGATGCTCTACCCTACTCCTGCAGCCCTCTGTGCATGCTCACCAAGCCTGCCAACAGTTCCTCCCACAGGGGAAGTGGAGAGGGTGGGAGCAGGGCCTATGGGGCCCTTTCTGCTGAGAGACAGAAACAGTCCCACTCAGTGCCACATTCAGATGATGTGGGTAGGAGGAAATGGAAACATTCCACCTGCGGCTTTCATGCTAAATGTCCAGAAAGACCTTGGGCTTTCCGGCTCAGGATGAAAGGAGGAGCAAATGCAGTACCTAAGTCTCTGGCCAACAGGGCAACAAACCCAGGACTGGGCTAATCAAGCTGGTGACTGATTTTACTTCAAAAGCACAAACTCCTTCCAGGAGTCACCTGGAAGGATCTTCCTGCCTCCTGTTTCTCCAATCTGCAAGGTTGATAACGAGCTATCCCTTTGCCCCCATCTTATTATCTATGTCCCATCCTCTTCCAGATTTCCTTTCACCTTCCTTTTCTGTCTGTTGAATGCCTATGCATCCTATAAAACCCAGGTGAAACATCACCACCTCTGTGAAGCCCCCCGACCGCCTCCAACAGAGCTGATCTCCCTTTCTTTGGTCACTACTGAATCCCGTACATGCCACTAGCACCGCTCACTTATTAACTGGAATCAAGGCTGGTTTGGTATGACTTACTTGACTATCAGTGTCCCCCAGGGTGAGCACTGTGCCTGGCAGATATAGGATGTGCCCAGCAAACGTTTGCTGGAATAAATAGACTACATCATACTCCCTGACCTTTGCTTCTCCATTACAGAAGGATGGGCTCAGGGCCAGGTAGCACAAACCCCAGGTGTTCTCAAAACAGCCAGAGATAAAGGCCGTCCTTCCTCACAGGGGCAGGTTTATAGATGATTGTGACAAGTGGAGTGTGTGTTAGGGAAGGGGGTGGGGGAACCCTGAACATCACCCCTGGGCAGTGGGAGGCCCGATGCCCAAGCTCACAGGACTCTGGCAGCTCTCCAGGAACAAACGGACAGATCCAACTTTCAGGAATATCAAGGGGGGAGGGAGGCCTAGTCCAGGGAAGTGCCCCAAACCAGCAGCAGCTCCACAGCTCACGAGGGCCTGCAGCCTCTGCCCCCAGGACTCTACCGTCTATGCCCTGGAACAAAGGCTCTCTGTAGCTCTCTTAACAGGCAGGTCAGGGCAGGCCTGAGCTGCTGAAATGCTTCAAGGACAGGTGCATACACCCTCCTGGGTCCCAAACCTAGCTTTAGTCACTGGGAGAGGGTGGAGATGTGTCTATGGGGCTTTCCAACTGCTGATGTTTTTTTCATCAGAGGAGGAGCCTCAGGGCACTCAATGGTAGTCAAAAGGAAAACAAAAAGAATTAAAGCTACACTATTTCTAAAACACTATAATGCTTTTATTGTAGTTATGCAGGTGGCTAGAAACACAGGCAGTGGTGAGCAGTAGAGAACAGTATGCCTTTGAATCGGCAGATTGGGGTAGCGTAGCCACTGCCGACCTTGTGGGCCTCCCTTTTCCCATGTGCAGCTTCATCTCTTTGGGACTTGGTTTCCTCATCTGTGTGATGAGGACGATGCTAATACCAACTTCGTAAGGTTACTGGGGGCATTAAATAAGATATAAATGTGTACAGCACTTAGCTCTGTGACTGACTAGTCTCACTAACTAGTCTCTATAATTGTAATTTAATAGGATGTCAAGTGAGATATTTCTGGTACCCTGAAATTGTGAATAAGGCCCAATTTGAAGATAAAAGGCTCTAAGTACCCTTACTTTTTATGTGTTCCAGGAGGTGAAAGAAGTTGGGGCCAGTCACCTTCCCACAGGACTGCAGCAGTTTAGAATCAGTCTTGCCACCAAATATCATGATCCCTTCCCACCCTTCAACATCAATATAAGATGTAGATGACAGAATATCATTTCTGGGAGATAATGTCTGATGATCATGGAGACAGGATATTCCCTCCCCTCACCGCGGAGCAGGAAGGTGGGGGTCCTTGTACTGCTTGAAGTCAAAGGAGTGGAAGCTTTGAGAACCACTCAAAGAGGGGGTGGTGGCAAGAAGGAGGGCCTGGCAGTCCAGTCCTAACGTGGACATCTGATCTGCCTCCAGCCACCTGAGTGGGGGAGAGAACTGGAGAGAGATTGTATGGTGGGTGACTGCTACCAGGGGACAGGAGGCCTAACCCACCCATACATGTAGAAAATAGAGCCTACCCATTTCTGCCATTTCTATAGCAGGTGCCAGAAGGATCATAAGACTGAAATGACAGAGCTGGCCAAATCTCACAAAAGACTACCCAGGAGCAGCACAGGAGCAAATATCCGGTCACTAGGGCATGCTGAGACCATCACCCAGCACAATGGCAGCTATGGCTACCCAGCAGGAGGTTGGCAACTTCGCCAGCAGCAGAACTCTGCCTCCTCCGTGCTGCCCCAACCCTGGGAGCTCAGGCACAGGAACCAGGGAAGGGGAAAGGAAAGGAAGCCAAGCCACCAGGGCCCTGTCCCTTTCAAGGTCCTAAAGCCACTTGCACTGGGGGGTGTAGAAGAAAAAAGCTTTGAGTAGAGTTTGAGATTCAAGTTTAAAGAGGAAAAGACTGAGTCATAAATATGGACACAAAATTGTTCTAATAATTTTTATTATTAGAACATTGACTAAAGAGTTATGGATTCTTGCCAAGATGTCATAAAACCATTTCAGTTATACCCCAATGAGTTGAGACCTCAACACAGTGGTTACACTGTGGTCTTCTAGACTCAGAGGTGCACGTGGTCATCCCTACATCAGAAAGGGGCAAAGGGCTGAGGGTCTCTTTACATGACATGCCTCCATGGGCCACACAATACCCAAAACAATGTTCCAGCTAAATCTAATTTCTTTCATCTTTGCTCGGCCTGCCTGGATTTTACCCATATGCTGTCCCAAAAGACATTATGAACATGAACCTGAAATCACACAGACCTGGGTTCAAATCCTGACCCTGTCACTCTCCAGATACATGCCTCGGGCAAGTCACTCATAACCTCTTTAAGCCAAAGTTTCTTCATCTGTAAATGAGACTTATAAACTCCAGCTTCAGTTGTGAGAACTGGAGCTGATACAGATAAAGTCCTAAATGCACAGTTGGTACTTATTCATTCAACAAGTACTTATTTCATAGACTCTCCATGCCGTAGGATACAAGGAAGAGGGGACAGATGGGGGAACAAACGAGGCAGAAGGCAGGACAGTGGGTGGATGGCCAAGTGGCCAGGTGAGATGAAGCAGGCCTGCAGAGTCTGAATCTCCTACAGACCTTACTGCTAAGTGCGACTCTGTAAAAGTCTTTGTTGGTGCTCTGCAGGGGGACACTGGCCTGTCCCTGGGGTCCAATCACTAGCAGAAACTAGAAGAAGCAGGTCCTGACACCTACCAGCATAGCCCAGGGCAGGGGAATCCTCCAAGGATCCTTCTCTCAGAGCTGAGGTTAAGGCTGACCACACTACAGATGCTTCTGAGACCTCTGGAAGCAGTGTGACCATGCCTGCCCAGGGACAGGCCAGCACATCAGAGTTCCCGATCAGGGAATTCCAACAGTCCCACTCAGAGACATGACACACCCACGAAGCACTCATTGTGGCCATTTATACCACCCACCCCCAAAACCAAAAGAGTCTACAGCTGAGAAACGCAGCCAGGAAAACCAAGCTTTCTCCAGACTGCAGAGCCAAGGCAAGGAACAGGCCCCAAATGGATCCATCACCTTTGCAAACTCACCTGCTGCGTTTGGCTGCTTCCTTCCCCGCTGCTCCCCTCTGCCCCACCCTGACCATCGGAGTCCATGCTAACACGCACCTTTTCAAAAGACAACTTTGCTAGGGAAGGGTGGTATCGCTGAAGCCCAAACTGCTTTACCTGTTCTGGGAAAACTGGAGGCAGGTGCAGCCTAATGAGTTTGGGAGGATGCCGGTGACCTATGGCAGCTTTCGAGCTGGCAGCTGCTTGTATTTACAAACAAGAGAGAGAATGAAAGTTTCCAGGTTGAGACCATTGCCTGAGAAGGCAGAGAATTCGGACCAGCCATCTCCAGACAACGCCCAATTTAACAGCAAAACACTAGTGAAGCTAATGTGCTAATTAGCCACCAAATTTAATTAAGAACTAATCAGGATGTAAAAATGTAGCATTGCACTCATAAATCACACATTTTTCTTTTAGAGCAAAAAAAAAAACAGTGATGTTTCTTTTAATAAAAGTAAGAGATAAGGATTAAGCATTTTTCCTTGGGAGCTGTACAGTTTAAATATGTTCTTTGGTTAAGTGTTCTCTCCCACAGATAAGGCCTGACCTGATAATTAACTGAATCACTAGACAGGTGAATCAAATCAACATTTTCAAGCAAGCCCTTCTCCAGTGATGTTTCTTTTAATAAAAGTAAGAGATAAGGATTAAGCATTTTTCCCTGGGAGCTGTACAGTTTAAATATGTTCTTTGGTTAAGTGTTCTCTCCCACAGATAAGGCCTGACTTGATAATTAACTGAATCACTAGACAGGTGAATCAAATCAACATTTTCAAGCAAGCCCTTCTCACACAGGAGCAGCTCCCCCTACTCTGCCCCCGTGCCTTGCAGACGTGGCTGATATGGTTGAGTCTGCATTCTTGGAGTGATTCTGAGTTGTCATTAAATTGGCATCCTCAAGTCTAGGCAAGCATTAAGCTGCCTGAAGGAAAACAAAACCCAAAGAGCCCACCATCATCCCTCGTCTTAACTGTATTAATGTCATCAATTAGGAACTGGTGGGTATTTCTGATGATGAAATAGCAGCTTTATGACAGGCACTTTAACTCACCTTCTGCAGATAGCCCCTGGATGTTTATTCCCTTAGCTGCCAGGAAATTCAAGCAGGCATCTATGTTTTCAATCTAGAGGGAAAAATAACAATATACATTTAATAAACATCTGGCCTCCTCCAAAGCCATGTCTTATTCAGAACAAAGCGCAAACAGAATGCTGAAGAAACGGCCGATGGACAGATGGATGGACGGACATAGGTTAGGACTCTCCTTTGTCTGTACTTGCGCAGGAAAAGGTTACCTAATATCCCAACCACACAGTGCCAAAAGTCGAAGCCTTTGATTGCTCACAGTTGCCAAAAATAACCAGGGTAGAATTGAAGCTCTCATCTTGATCACCATCACCAGTGCAATGCTGAAAACTTGAGCAGATGCCAGAAAAATGGAGGTGGGGATGAGGTTAGTGCACCCACTCATCCACCAGCAGCTGAGAGAAATTTCCAGCCACCAAAGAGGCAGGCAGTCAGTCAAATGTACAAATGCTGAATGGGAGTTTCAGCAGGAATCTGGGCAGTGTTTACTCACAAAATTCTCAGGATAGCAGGCATTGCAGATGACCAGGGACGACTGCCACCTCCCAAACCCCTCTGTCCTTTGTGCTCTCTGACAGGAAGGGACCCACCAGCCAGAGTCTGGGAGGCCTCCCAGGATTCCAGGGATGATACCTCAGCCAAGGGCAAGCCAATGTCTAGCCCTCACGAAAGAACAATTAGGTCATCCCCAAAGGTCTGATTTGACTTCAGTTGTCAGGGCTAATTATTTTTTGGTTTACAGAAAAATGTTCTGGCTTGATTAATGTCAATGGTGACCATAAGTGAAGAAATTGCTTTTGACTTGGCACAAGAATCATTGAATTTCACACAATCTGCATCTCACAATGGGGTCCCCACTCTCCACAACCACCTCACGCCACCTGACTTCCCAGGCTCTATCAACATTCTTATGACTTTCAAACCGGTGGAGTTTATTTTGAACTAATAAATGACTGTCTGTCACAGTATTCATGTGACCATTCTCCCTCTTCATCCCCAAGCAATTTCCTGATGCTCCTTCACAGCCACAGAGAGTGTGAAGCATCTATATTTTAAACAATCTAATTTGAGTAATGACTAGCTGCAAGGAAGTTTTCCTGAAGTTCATCTCCACCTTCCTACTGACATCCAGGATTTTCTTCCTCTACTGCCAGTCTTCACTTCTTCCAAATGCTTTAAATTAAACTATGGGATACCTGAATAAAATTGCACCCATATCATAGAATCTATTCAACTCTTAGCTTGAAGTCAGCCCATCCTTGCATTTTTAGCAAAGGATCTCACCTCCAGCCCACCTTCAAGGGTCTTCATCTGGGACATATTTTCTCATCTCTAGAAAAAGGGGCAGAATGGAATTTCCTGCAAAGTAAATAAATGCTGACACTATGGGTTATGCCTGACACCACTGCAGAAAACTATTCCTTATACAGATGGAGGAAAGGTGTGATTACTGTTAATCTCTCCTTTCTTCTGTCCAGCTCGAGGGATGACTGGCAGGGACAACCAGGTACTACCATCTTGGGGGAGGGGGCAGCTAAGAAAGGAAGAGAATGGCTGGGAGGACCCCAAGGACTGTGCTTTGGAGCAATCTGCTTCCATTTGTAAGACCGATAATAGTCATATCTTTAAATGCTATTTCATCATACTATGAAACCCTGCTTTTGAGAGAAAGCATTAGTTATCAGTCCTTATTTCCACTGTTGTACACAGTGGTACTATACCAAAACCAGTCAAAAGAATTTATTGCCCCCAAAAAGAGACACTAGTATTTAAATCGTGATAGAATTATAAAAGTCCTCTTATCTCCCTTGTCTCTTCCTAAAATCCCATCCTACTTCTTTATTATAATATCTTGCACATGGTTGAGAAGGAAGGCTTTGGCAATTATGTCTCCATGGAAAATGAGAAAAAGAAAAAGCTGACCATCGCTGAATCCCTTGTATTGCAAAATCAAAAATGGTACACTTAATATTTATCCTGGGAAGTGTCACATAAGTGGGCTGACATGGGTAGGTTAAATTCTTCCAACAATAGTCCAGCAGTGTAGCATTAAAAAAAAAAAAAAAAAAAAAAAATTTTGGGTGGAGAATTGGCTTCTTTGGGGGAAAAGTTTGACAGAAAGCGCCTTCCTTGGGGGAGGTCAGGAGTCATTGGTATTAAACTAGACAAGCTGGTAGCGGAGTGTTAATGGCCACAGCAAGCAGATGTTCTATGATATTGTACTTCTATGAAACTTCCCATCCAATCAGCATAAAGTATGCTCACATGTCATAGTTTTATGGAGTATTCAATGCATATTTAAAGTTCATGATAGTGTCTTCTTGCAAGTCTAACCTTGATACATTTCAATTCCACCATCTATTGGGCTTTCTTTTAATGTTAAATCCTATTAAAAGGATGGATAATTACAAGTAGGTAACCTGGAATACTTCTTCTTTGTTAATTTTTTTTAAGTCCTATTATTCTTTTGTAGAATTTCATAATTTAGATCAGTAACTTTCCACTGGCTAGAAAGCAAGGTTGGAGAAAAGGGAACAACTTGGCGATGTCTGGCAACATTCTAGGCTGTTACAATGGGGACGGAAGGGTGCTAATGGCATTCAGTGTTTAGAGGCCAACATGATGCTAAACATCCTGCAATGCACAGGAGAGCCCTCTACAACAAAGAATTCTCCAATCCAAAATGTCAGGTGGAGAAGTTCTGATTTATACAAATTTTTAAATATTTTACTTCAATAAACATAATTGTGTAGGTGTCTACTCTGTGCCAGGCACTGAGCCCGACTCTTTTGATGGCATTGGTTTTAGTAAGTGGAGAAGTTCTGATTTATACAAATTTTTAAATATTTTACTTCAATCAACATAATTGTGCAGGTGTCTACTCTGTGCCAGGCACTGAGCCCGACTCTTTTGATGGCATTGGTTTTAGTAAGTGTTACATGATGGAAAAAGTGAGGTAAGGAGGCCAGATTTTTGACCAAGAATACACAGGTCAATAGCAGAGCTGGGGCTGGGACCCAGGAGGTTCTCCCCACATCACAAATCCTGCATTTACATAATCTTCCTCTTTAGAGTTCATGAAGCCATTTGACACACACACCCTGATTCTTATCCACTTCAGGGAGAATCCAAGCATAGAAAGAAGGAAAGCATTAGGGTCTTCTTTCATTAGGTGAACAGACGAGGCCACTGAGAATATTTTCTTTAAAAGATGAGATGAAATAGAGTAATATCCAGATGGCTGGATTGCACTCCCAGAAGATGTTAAAACTAAAAGTAAAAATTCGATCATCATTTAAAATATCACTCATACAACCATCAAGCGCCTAGAATTTTTACCCTCTACTATGAACTCTCTATGTTCACAGGAGGAATTCAAAAAACATTCCTCGTGTCTCAAATCCACTCTTTAATAATATTCCATTAAGGTTAAAAATTGCCCCTGACAAGGCAGCCGAGACCCACGTGCTCTCCATCAGCACCCCAGGAAGAGAGTGAGGCTGAGAAGCAGAATGAGGTCACGTGTGTATTCCAGCCTCCCAGCCTCATCTGGAATGAGATTTCTGATTCAGGCCCTCTTGTGATTAAATTCACCTTAAGGTTCTCTTCCAAATACCATACAGGTAAACAATCCATCCTCACGGACTGCTGCAGTCGCAAACTCCTACCACATTCCGAGAAGGGAATGGCCCTGGCAGCAGCACCCCAGTACTCATTACAGCACAGGGCTGTCCTCACACCTGTCTTTAATGAGGGTTATGGCTCATGCTGGATCTAGATACCAAGCATGAGAGGATCTGGTTAAAGTTGGGCAGCAAAGTGATGGAAACAGCAAAGTGTGTAAATACGACCAGTGTTGCTCATTAACACATAGCTGCCAATATAAACTACTTTCCAAAATTAGCTGAAGAAATCTGTGCAAAGTCTGACATTCCAGTGTTGACAAAGGGGGGTGGGGACTGGGTGAGAAGCTACTGTAGTAGTTACCGTAGAGATGGGTCCAACAGCTTTGAGATCAAGTTGTTGGAGTTTTGCAGCATAAGCTGGGGCAGAGGTGAGAAGCCCAGAAGAGGGACCACCATGTGCCTTGGGAGACCCTGGGAACAGAAAGGTGCTAGATGAAGAAGGGAGACAGGGAAAAGGGACAGACCAAGACCAGGGTGTACTTCCCTAGAATTCCTTTGGGACCAAATGTGGCCTCCACTTTGTGCAGTCCACAAACATCCAAGACAGAGAGGCTGCAATGAAGCTTTCTCCCAGTCTCAGCAAGGACCTCCATCCCAAAGTTGAATAGTTTCTCAACAGTCTCTGAACTTTAGACTTGCAGGGTAGTTTCCATGAGCTATGTATGTTATAGCCTTTGTCTCCCCTATCCATAAACACATCCCCAACCAGTATAGCCAGACAGAAAGGAAAATCAAAACAAATGCCGAACAACTAGAAAGAGAATATCAGGGGCTAGGAAGCAAATGGAAAATTTTTCATTTCAATCGTGATTAAGGCTGGACTGGGTCTCATGATAACGTAAAATATGCAAACCTCGAAAGCACTGCTGTATATCTCCTTGGTAGCTTAGAGACTGATCAAATACCATCTGTTGTGGCAGTTGTCATGGCAGCATTTTCCTCTGAATACCACTGAAGTTAAGAGCAAAGCACATGAAAATGATTAATGCAAACGAAGACCATCTCTGTGGGCCCTACCGCAGTCCAAAGGAAGATGGTGTTCTGGGCATACCAAGTAAATGGAGCACTTATGAGTTAACAGTTTCTCACCAGGCCCCTGGAGATCTCCATCCTGGGAGTAGAGGCAAACAGCTGTTGCACTAAAGTCGGGCATGGTCACAGCCATTTTTAAAAAATTATTCAATGCCTAAAATGCCTAGGCAATGGGAGAACCAGACCCCAGACAGAGCTAAGTGAGAATTTGCAAGTTCTGGTGATTTTAAAAGTACAGTGTAGCTTCTTTTTAAAAAAAGATGACCAGTAAGGGGATCTTACCCTTGACTTAGTGTTGTCAGCACCACGCTCTCCCAAGTGAGCCAACCGGCCATCCCTATATAGGGATCCAAACCTGTGGCCTTGGTGTTATCAGCACCACACTCTCCCGAGTGAGGCACGGGCCGGCCCTCAGTGTAGCTTCTTCATGAAGCTCATACATCAGCTCAAACAACTTCTTTCCAGAAGTGTGTGTGACCTTCACACCTGATATTGCTACTTGCCATCAGAAAGAATCACCATCATCCAATCATTCACGTATTCCTTCACCCATATTTATTGAGCACCTGCTGGTGTCAGGCAATATGCTGGTGCTTGGTATACAGTGGTAAATAAAACAGCCATTAGCCCTGACCTTATAGAACCTACAATCGAAGGCAGGGAACCGGCTTTGAATAATGCACAAATAAGTACATGATGACAGGCTGTCACGGTTACTATGAAATAGAAGAAAGAGCTGGGAAAGAAGACACGAGAGACGTGATCTAGCCTGGGTTGGGGGAGGTCAGGCAAGAATTTCTTAAGAAAGAGATGGCATATAGGTCCACAAACAGGGCTTTTTGACTGTTTTGTTTACTGATGTAGTCTCACACACAGTAGGTACCTGGGAATGTTTGTTTACTAAAGCAATGAAGGGAAATTTGAGCTGAGACCTAAAGAGTTGACCACGTACCACGAGTGGGCAGAAGAAGAACGTACCAAGACTAGGGAACCTAAGGCAGAAAGCCTCAATGCAGGATGCAGTATACCATGTTCTGGGAACCCAAAGAAAGTCCCTGTGGCTGGAGCACAGGGGGCAAAGAGAAGAGCAATGAGAGGTCACACCAAGAAGGGGCAGAGGGCTGGCCAAACAGGGCCACATCGGTCACATGGAGGGGATGACGTGTGGAAGGAGAGAAGGCGGGGGTCCTCCTATGTCTTGGGAAGCATTATCAGTACTGCACCCTGCCCGGTTTCCATGGCAACAGCAGCCAGGCCAAGCTCTTCTGGTCTGAAAGCTTAAGGGTGGGCTATTTTGTGTTAGGAATGGCTCAAACAGTGTCCTCAATGTGGGGCTCCAGTGACCTCCAGGCTGGACACAGAGAAGGGGAGGAATGGGAAGTAAATGCCACCATCTGTGGTCCCATGTGCTAGGGATGCTCTCCAGCCCAGCTGTCCAGGAATCCAGGACCTCTCCAACACCTCATGTCACACCTGCCTCTCGGCAATTCCTCTCTTGAAAAGATGCTGATAAATAAATTCACACCAAGACAAAAGGGCCTGCCACTGGCTTCCCACTTTGCCCACAATTATTAGCTGACAATATCTGATGAAAGAATACGAACTCTGTACTCCTCCACATCTGGATTCTGGCTACCTGACAGACTACCCACAAGACCCTGGGGAAATTATTAACTGCTTCAAGCCTCAGATGCGTCATCTGTAACATGGGAATGCTGATATCTATCTCACAGCATTACTGAGAGGATTAGGTAGGTGGACGTATGTCAACAGTCTGGATCTTTACACAGTCAGAGCTTTAAAAAGGCTTATTCTTCATATAACTTCATAATGTCAGAATTTTAGACACTAGTGGCATTTCCTGAAAGTGAAAAATCATCTCAGAATTGTGAGACACTCTTAGGCATGTTAAATTATATGAAACGAGTACAGCCTTTCCACAAATAGGAACTCTGTCATTAGAATCATTACACAATGTATAGTTATACCAAATCTATAAAAGAAGAAAAAGAGCCAAAAAGTTTTTTGCAGAAAACTTTGGCTTTACCCACAGAGAAAGACACAAACTCAGACTCAAACATGAGCAAGAAAACCCAGACTTTGGGTCCCCCAAACCCATGGCTGCCTCTTGAACCAGCAAGGAAAAATGAGACTATGGATACACCTACTGGAGAATGTCACCCAAGAACTAACTGGAACCTGGCAGCCTCATTTGTTCCTTGAAAAATACTGACTGAGCATCAATCTCTTCCTGGTCCTGCTCTAGGGACAGAAACACAGGCAAACAAGACAGTACAGTCCTTTCCTCAAGAAGCCAATAGCTTCCTGGACAAGAAGGGACATTAACTAAATAATCACTCTACTAAACATATAGTCGCAAATGTGTTAAGAGCTAACTTACACTTATCAACTCACCTACTCAAAGCCTGACACTGACAAGAAGGGACATTAACTAAATAATCACTCTACTAAACATATTGTCGCAAATGTGTTAAGAGCTAACTTACACTTATCAACTCACCTACTCAAAGCCTGACACTGACTCACTATGCTCTTTTAAGAAGGTTTGGATTCTTTTTGTATCTTTGCTACATTTACATGCTTAAACCCATAAGCTACCACAGAGAGTTTAAATGCAAAATAAAATAAGACAGCAGATCCTTGATATTCAGGAGTATACATGGCCCTAGAGTGCAGTGAATCCTCAATTTTGGAAAGACTCAAACAAGTACATAGAAAGGAATACAGTAATGGGATCTCAGAGGAAGGTCAAGAGTTAGTCTTGCTCACTCGCTTGGTGAGTTCCCTCACACCAGCCTGTGCAACTCAGCCTTGTGGCTCAGCCAATTTGCCAATATCTGTAGCTAATGGTTCTTCTGGGTTGTTCATGAATAGTCAAATCCATGGATTTCAATCCTGCAATTCCAAGGATAGTGAGAGACCTGTCCTGGCAACATATATAAGCAGGAAATGAAGCCAAGCACATAACTCTGAATGCTTTAATATTCAATTCAGAATCCTGCGAGGCTTTGCTCGTACACTCTGATGATGGCTGGAATAAAGGTGACTGCTCTGTTATTTTCTGTCTTTATATATCACCCTGTACTGTTAATGCCCATGGGAAATCTCATCCAAAACTATCATTCTGTTTCCACTCCAATTCCAAATTCTGCTAGCAAGTAGCAGGTGAGTTATATGTCAGGCTCAATACTAGGAACCCTCACATACATTAGCTCAATCTATTTTTTTTTAAGTTGTTTGTAGGTATGGCTAAAGAGTTTTGTCTGAATTACAGACCACTGGTGATCATTAATATACAATTTGGGAGATACTGCAAGGAATACACAAAATACTTCTTAAAACGAGATCTGGCCAGCAGTTCCAAATTCTAAAATCTGTGATCAAGGCAGAGAGCTACATGCCAACCAATCAGAAATTATGGGATTAAAAATAATTAAGAATATTATTAATAATTAAATAATTCTTGACTCTGCTTACTACCATAGCCAGAATATCAGAGGCACTGTCAAAATCCACTGAAAGAGAACAAACTAGACAGGAAGGCCTCTATTGTAGGATATCCCTGAGCATTCCTAAGCTACAAAATACCTAATGCACCTATGAAGAAATAGTAACAATTTTTAATTTGTCATGTAATGCTAATATCTGTTACTATTTATGCCCCTGTCAAGTATTCAGTTGAATCAGATACAACTGCCATTTTTGTAGGTAAAAAAAAAAAAAAAAGGTTAAATATTGGCCATATCATATGATTCTATCTATATATGAATATGTATCAAGTATTCAGTTGAATCAGATACAACTGCCATTTTTGTAGGTTAAAAAAAAAAAAAAGGTTAAATATTGGCCATATCATATGATTCTATCTATATATGAATATGTCAGGAAGACACTGCCCCCTGACCCCCAAGGGCTAAAATTAAACTGTTTGGTGATCGTAACAATCGAGCACTTCAGAGTCATTCACAAGGGAAGGAACCAGTAAATTCTGGAACTCAATCAAAACTCTGCAATCCCCTCTTAAAGGGGTCTTACAAGATTATATAAAGGAAAAGATCAAGTTACAAGAAACACCCCATCCAAAGGCTAACCTTTAAAGGCCCTTTGCTTTGGTTAGGGTTTCTTCTGTACAATCCCCTTAGAGAAACGGGAATGGGACCCAGGGAAGACTTTAATTCCAAGCTGACTCATGTCAAAACCTCCCATTAAGGGTAAGCACTAGTAGACCTTGAAGGGAAACCCAGGAAGCATGCCCTTTTCCTCTTGTCTCCATATTCTTCAGGGGAAAGTAGACAGATGAGATTTTGGACAGGTTCTGCTACCCCACCCAACTCTACATAACTGGTACCACATCCTCACCAATGTGGGAAGGCCTCTCACCCATGAAAGCCACTCGATAGGAAAAGTCAACTCATCTCAAAGTGTCACCATTACTGGAGTCACTACTAAGAGAAGATTTCAATGGTGCACAAGAAAATTAAGGATTTCAAGTGACCAGAGGTGAAGTCTGGTGAACTGTGAATTTCTCAGGGTTCCCTGGCCACCACTGGGCAAGGTACTTAATTTCCCTGAACCTGTTTTCCTTTAGGTAAAATGGAGATAATTATCCCTTTCTTGAAAGTCTTATAGAAGTCTTACAAGAAACTAATATTTGCACTTACAAATAATAAATCTTTGGGCTAAATTCTTTTCCATACATTATTATTTCAGCTAATTTTCTCTACAAGATATGGTAGATATTATTACCATCACTTTCCAGATGGGGAAATGGAGGCATAGAGTGTTTAAGTGCCTTCCTAAATCACAGTTATTAAATGATAGAGTTGGAATTTGGACACAATGAAGTGTTTTTTAAGCTGTGAAGCCCTGTATAGACATTGGGTTTTAACAACCAAACAGCAAGTGCTTTGCTAGAGCTGAGTAAGAGAAAAATGACCATTTTGTTTGGTCATTTTTTTCTGCCCCTTGCCTTCAGCAGTGTGGCAAGGCAACCGCTACCAGCAATCAGTCCACCTAAACCGAATCCAGTCTTTACTCAACAGGACAAAGGACAGTTCACAGAGGAGGGAGTGACTTCCTTGTGGAAGATATTTAAATTAT